TTTCTTTTTTTGGTACTGGGAATTGAGTGACATGTTCTTGATGTGACACTATTGAGAAATGTGCAGAGCAGCTTAGCAAAGTTTATATTTTTGTGAGTGTACATAACTCATTTGTTTGTGGAACCCTCCTGGTAAGAGTTTGGATGTGTAGAAGGCCCAGAAAGGTATTGGAGTTGATTGCACATGGGATACTTGGAGCAGTTAAGTAAACACTACATCAAACCAAGTTGTCCATATCTTGATTTAGAGGGAAATGATTCAGAACATACTTGCTCTGATTCTACAAATGCATGATATGAAACTTTATACCTATTTAAGTGAACAAGGGTTATAAGGAAGACCAGATTCCTTTGGCAATGGGACTACAGGTCATTTCTATGGTCAAGCCCTAAGCCATGACCCGGGGAAGTTATCTTTCTTTGATCTTAGTGCTGGTCAGCATGAGTTCTCACCTGTACAGACCCTTGTGTGCTCACTTGCACCCTAGACCAGCACTGGCCACTGTTGGAGTTTTCATGCTCCTGCTCTGGGTTGATGGAGACCGAGTTGCCACATGGTGTGCTGATGATCTGCACAGAGCTCTGCCAAGAGAGTACCTGACATTTGAGCCACAAGTTATCATTCACTCCTCCTGGCCATCCCCACACAGCGCCCTCATAGAAAAATCTCTCCACGTTAGGCGGCATAGGGCGGTATATGTATAATCTTGAGACAGAGAGGTGCGAGAGGACAGCTTGAATCAGTTGATTAACCTCCCATCAGATAAACTGATCCCCAATAATCCCGTAACTATAGACCTTCGATGCCTGTCATACTTCCAACCATGAAGTAGGAAATAGGAAGTGGACAGGTCAAAGTTGGGACACTTTAAATCTCCCCCTGTTTGGGTCAACCCCTGCACATCCCCCCAAATCCATTGGTGAATGACTGCCCTTAAGAGGCTGGCATTGGCATGGGGTTATCTCTCTTACTTGTCGGCTCCTCCTGAACATTAGCTTGAAACATCCACAGTGAGGTGGGAACCAAGATCTGAAAAGGCTCTGGTTCCTGTGCCTTTTGCGGCTAGAACTTTGGAAACCAGGAAAACAGCAAAAGCTCATCTTCTACTCTTGAATGTCTCCCTCCAAGTGATCAGGGCAGGAGATAGATTCAAAAGTGTGGAGGCTTGGTTACCAGAGTTCCAAGCCTTGTTGGGTTCTATCACCGAGGTCATGAGGTCATTTCTTCAAAATTCCATTACAGTTAGGATGAGGAAGGGGATGAATGTTAGGGTGAGGGAACAAGATGGCGTTTGGGTTGAGGTTTGTTGGGATGTAGTGGAGGTTTAACATGAGATTTGCACTGTGTTATGGCTGAGAATGAGAGATGAAGTGTTAGAAATTAGGTTCCAGGTTTTTGAAAAGTATTTCCTTCTTAGTACATCCTTGCAGTAGCTGTAGTTACACACAGTGGGGAGTAGGTGCACATTCACCGTAGAGTTGTTTTGTAATCCCCTTCCCTCTTCCTCTTCTAAATCCCTTTTGCTTGATTTCATTAATGTTATTAAACTCATCTCATGCATAAAACACACAGTGCTCACATTCACTTAGCAGATTAAATTCCTGCACATGGCATATCTTTATTCTCTTTATTTTCCGTTATGTGTAGATAGTACATTTTCTTTACACAGTCACCAGTGGATACACAGATGGCTTCCTTGATTTTGCTCTTAAGACCATGCTGCTATAAACCTTGGCTCTTTCTGTTACTCAGGATTTGGGTAGGGATTAGCATTGTAATTGAGTTTAGGGTTTGGGTTTAGGGAGATAAAGATCTAAGGGGGATGTGGGACATTTTCTTGTTATTGAGAATAAATAAGCAACAGTCCCAATTTATGAGGAGATGTTTATTTGAGCTAATGGTTTTTTAAGGGTTCAGTTTTGTTTGGGGGAATAAGTAAAGGAGGTGTATGGTGCAGAGTCAGCTTTGGGATTGGAATGAGGGCTAGCTTAGGCCCACGTTTAGGGCTACAGTAAGTGCTAAAGGTATTAAATATAGTGTTAGGGGCAGTGGTTAGTGGTTAGGATTAGATTTCAAAAACAGAGTTCGGGTTCAGATTAGGAATTAGGGCAGGTTTTAGTGATTAGTCTTGGGGATCAGTGTGAGTTTCCAGTTGGGAGTTAAGGTTAGGGTTACATTTATGATTAATACTGCAGGATACAGGTCCAGTTGGGATAATATCAGTGTCAGAGCTGGGGTCATATTTAGGGTTCAAGTTAGGGTTAAGGTAAAGTTTAGTGTTTAGGTTTTGACATTGGTTGAGTTTAATCTGTGTTTATAGAAGCAGAGTTAGGGATAGGATGAATGGTGGAGGACTATGGTTAGTTTTCATCTCTTTTGTTTTAGAGTGAGGGGTGGGATTAGGAATCAGAGTGGGTGATGTTGTCAGTGTTATTGTAGGGTATTGTCAGTGTTAGGGTAGGGGAGCATGAGTAATAGGTTTGGGGTTACTGCTCATTTATGCTTAGCTCATTGCTTAGTTTTAGTGTTATAGTCAGAGTCTTAGGGTTATAAAGTTAGGGTTAGTGTTATGTTAGAGTTAGGATTATTTTCTAATAGGATGAATCTTTGGGGAGGGTTAGTTCCTGATAATTGTTGGGTTATATATAGGGGTCGGTGTACTGGGAAGATGAGGTTTATGCAGAAAAAGAACAGATGTGAAAAACAACAACAACAACAAAATGAAACCATAAAAACAAAGAATTTTCCTGGATGTAAAGGATGTAGCATTCAGTTAAGGACATTATCCAACTGGATAGAAGAGCCATTCCAAGCCAAGTACTTTCTAAAAGAGATGAACTTCATATGTACATGAAAATTTAAAAACAGTAAATCAATGTGGAAACATTCCAAAAAGGAGTAAGAATCACAATGCAAATACCATAATTAGAAGTGCTGTAACGGCTGTATTGATATCAGTTGAAACAGAGTTAAAGAGAAAGACTGTGAGCATACGAAGTATTACATTTAGTAAAGAAGATCCACAGATATCAGTGGGTAAGATGTGCCACTTGATTCGAGGAAAAATGTGATATCATGTAGGAGAGCAACTCAATAAATGAAAAGCCTTTTTGGTAGCTAGATATTATTATGGAAAATGTCCTACATCTGTACTCCTGAGATAATATTGAAGCCTGCACAAATATTTTAGGAAAATATTCTTTTTGTCCTGTATGTTTTAAGAGTACTTTTGTACTGTATATAAAGGAAGCTCTAGAGGCAGAAATAGTTTACAGAATGAAAAGTACCATAATAATTTAAAGATGAAACGAGCAAAACTCTGAAAATTTAAACCTTTTTCAGAAATACACATTTGCAAAAAAATGAGGTATGAGCAGCAGTGTGCAGAAAATGGTAGTGGTGAGCTTTTCTGTTGTGTCTTCTAGGACTTGGGCAGTAAGGAAGGTGCTATTGTTAAGTGACTCAGAGAAGCAGATATCAAGGAAAACAGTAAAACATGAGTAAGCACAAGGTTTCCCATAGCAGGAGGAGAGAGCCCCCCACCTGCTGGAGAATCCAACCCTTTCAGTTGGTTCAATTTTATGAGTGGAATGAGGTTTTGGGAAAGTTATTTTCCACTTAGATCAAACCTTGAAAACTGCTAAGATGTAGTCTTAAAAATCTGTGAGAATTTAAAGAATGTGATGGATGCCTGTGCTTTAGAGGACATAATGAAATGGGAACTAATTCACCCCCGTGACCATCTCAGTGATGGCATCAGGAATTTGAGCACATTATCATTGGTATCCAAACCATATAGCATGATTTATTTGTTACACATTGCAGAACCTGCAATCAGGTAGCAGTGAGCCTGTGGAAAACCATCTGAGTTTACCTGATCATGGTTTTCCTTTAGATAAGGTGATGTTTGTTTAAGCCATTCAGATACAGTGATATTATCTATGATTGCAACTATGGGAGTGTCATGGTAGGGAAGTGAAATGTTCCATAAAACTAAAGGTTTTGTTGAGAGTCGATGGGGTTTTTGGAAAATGATCAGATAATCAAGGCAGCAAGAATAGGTGGATGTCATTATAGGCAGGTGATGGATAAAGGCAATAGCCTTATTGGGTCATGGGGGTGAACATGAGGCATATATGTGTTCCCCGAATTTTTCCTGTCTGACTCCTGGACTCTTCTTTGGTGCCTGGTTGCCATGCTGAGACACTTTCCTCTTCCTGGCCTTTTCTGCTCTTTCTGACTTCCTGCAGGTCTAAAGTGAGAAAAGGTAGGCCATGGACTGCAACCTGTGGATTGTGAACCAAAATAAGCTTTTTGTCTTTCAAATTGTTTATGTCAGGTTCTCACACAACTAGTGACATTTTAAAATCTAAGGAAATTTTATGCAATTTGTACTTGTGAAAAATAATAGCATTTTATTTTTTAACTTGAATTAGAAATATTATTACAGATATTTAATAGAGTGACACTCTATTTATATTTAGATTAATCTATCTTTTATTCATGTTAGCATTAAATTGTGTTTATACCTTTGAAAATGACTGTATGCATGTTTTTCAATGAATTCTAGTTTTATGCAGCTCACTCAGTTTTCTCATATAAGACATAACTATCACATGTAATTCTTGTTGATTTATGTTTTCATCAGTAAAATATTCTATAAATATGCAGAAATTTTTGCAAATCTTTCTAACATACTACCCAATATCTTATTTTTTCATTTTGTTTTGACCTTTTTGTTAATTCATTTAGCAATAAAATATTCTCTCATTTGGATGAATGCATAAACCTGTTAGAAGTTTTTATAATAGGGTTAGTTCTTCTTTAGTTCATCCATGTGTATACAGATCTGGGTTTGGGTTACTACTGAGGGCAGTAAATCGGTGTCACTGGAAACATTTAAATCAGAGCTAAACAACCAGGCCATTGGGATTTTATATGTAGAAGTAAATGAGGATTTTGTTCAGGGTGATTCTCAAAGATCCTTCTCCTGCCCACAGTTCTGGTGAATGTGATGGCTGTGTGGCTTCTCCAGGTGTCCATGCACTGTAGAAGAAGAGCTGAGCTTCCTAGGAATGCTGCGTTCCGCTTCTCCAAAGACCCCACTGTTCTGCTGTCATTCATCATATGCTATCAGGTGTTGGTTGGAGCTGGTTGGGCATTTATCCAGGTATTGGTGAGTAAGAGTGGTTTTGAGTGCTCCTTCTACTTGTGTAAAACATATAAACATAAATGTAGATCATGTAAACAATTAATTATCATATGTCAGGAGAGAGAAGAAAATGAATGACTCAGAGATCTCAAAGTGTAATACATTTTATGCACCAGTAGAAGATGTAAAACGTTCATTGCAGAGGGGCAGAAATATAAGAATAGGGAATGAAAAAGTAATTTTTAAAAGACCAAGGATAACTCAGCATTTATTATATTGTATAATTCATCTAGTTATTTAAATGCATTACATAAATTCATTCTCTCAGCAACTCTGAAAAGCCGCTATGCATCATTAACTCTTTCTTACATCTGAAAACAACACTGGATATGTAGTAAGTTCCATGAAGTCAACAGCCATTGAGTAGCAGACCTGGGTCTGACTTACAGGGTCCATTTCACTTTGTTGCCTTCTGCATATATTTGATTTGGTAAAAGGAAATTCAAATTTCATGCAATTTTCTTTTTCCCATTCTGTCTGTTATGGCCAGGGAAATAGCCTTTTAGTTTCTCTGATCTTTGAAGGCTTGGAAGTGAACAATGTAGATATTTCTTAGGTAATTCTGTTGCATAACTGAGCAGCTATAGCTCAACTCAGTCCACAATTAAGAGTCATGGATCCACTAGGGAGGGAAAGAGAAAGCACTGTACAACTCAGGGGTTACACAGCAGGAGCATATGTGTGTGTCTTTTCATTGGTTGGATGAATATGTACTGAATTGCACGAGTGAGTGTAATCAGTGTAAACAAACAAAGTCAAACCCAGACAAAACAAAACCCAAGGAAACAGCATCTGCTCCCTAAACTTCCAGAGAGAAAAGGTGCATCTGCCTAAATTGGTTTACTGCTTGTTTTTTTCTTAGGGTTGCAGCCATTTGTCAAAGATATTCCCCTAAATCCAGGGATTTAAAAGTGGTGAAAGTCTTGTATCTTGGTTTGAATTTCCACATAGAATATAATCAATCACAGCAAAGAATGGGATCCCAGTAATACAAAACTTATCCCAGGAGTTTATTAAATACTTATATTAGCTACTGTTCAGTTCTTTCTCCTGCTGTGAATGTGCAGATCATTTCATACATTAGGGCAATCAGGAAACAGAATGAAGATAATTGCAGGGGGAAAATTATTGGAAGAATTTATTTCTGATAAAGAAATTATATCCATAATACACAAAGAAATTTAAAAACTCAATAATAAGAAAAGAAATCATGAAATCAAAATCCATTCTTTTTTTTTTTTTTGGTACTGTGATTAAACTCATGCCTGCATGCTTGCAAGGGCAGGCACTTATGCCATTGAGCTACGTCCTAGGCCCGAAACCATGCAATCAAGAACAGGTTTGAGATATGTGGTGAAGGAGGTGTATGAGCACCAAGTAGATGCATTAAAGTTTCAGATGAACGTATACTCATAACTTCAAAGATATTCAATGCTTATCTCATGGCACTGATGCATTGCAGATTATCTCTAACCTCCTGGGAAAAACAATTTCATTTCCACAGTACATCACTCACTAAGGCCCTGCGATGAAATCCAAAGTCAGGGTTTGAGTAAGAGAAAAAAGAAAAAAACCTTAATATTTGCAGTTTTGTGTAGCTAATGTTCTTCCTGGCTGACATCTGAAGAAACGGCAGAATGTTGAGAAAGTGTGTAGGAACAATTGTGTGTAACAGAGTTATTTAACGGGGCCAGCAAAATATTTTTTTGGTGGAAATAAAAACATAAGAAAGCATTGCAGGTTTCTGTGGCTTGAGTTTTCAAGTCTATATGGAAGGAATAGGAGAGCCAGAGCATGTTTGACAGTGACAGAGAAATAGCATGCAGCTACTGACAAGCAAAAGAAAAACACACACACACATGATTTTCAGTTTGCAGTTGCCAGCGATGGATGAAGTGAGTGTTAAATGTCCATGAATCAAGGGATAAATTGCTGGTAAAAGGAACAGGAGAATGATGCACAGCTCAGGATTCTCTTTGAATCCCTCAGTCTGAATACAGTAACTTCCCTGATACTCTTTATGGTGAAATCTCAGAGAACAAAATGGAAGATAGCCAAAACTTACAGTTTATCCTTTCATCAAATTGTGATGACCACCGTGATCGTCAAGGGTATGAACAATGTCCATGTGTATTTGTGTGTGTACGGTGTGTGTGTGTGTGTGTGTGTGTGCGCGCAGGGTGTGTGTACATGTGTGTATTCTAGCACATGGATTTTATGAAATTCCTTTCCTCTTCATAAAATAGAATGAACCAAATGTTGAACGTGGCAAACATTTATCTTCTAGTGTTAGACTCCTGCTTGTCCTTCCTTCAGGTTATCTTCACCGTCAGGAGAAGGAACACACAGGCACAACTAGGAGACCCATGTCTACCTCTGCAAATGTAAGTTCAGTATTTTTTCTGCTTTGTGTTTGCCAGAAGACAGTTGGTGCTTACTTCCTATGCATGACTTTCTTTCCTTGTGACTGGGACAAAGCAGTTGACAGCAGAGAAGTGGTAAAGTTTGCTATGTTTCACAGTGTCAGTCCCTGGTGAGCTGGTTGCAAGCTAGAAACAGGGTAATGGAGGGCATCGTGGAAGAAAGGCTGCTCTCCTCATGAAGACCAGGAAGCAGGGGGAGAAGGGAGGAGCCAGAGAGAGACATCCATTCCCCCAGGTTCATGGGCCCAGTGGTCAGGCTCCTAGCTATAAGTATCTCTGTGATTTCCTCACATTCTAAAAGCCCAGCCTATAAGTGTAAGAGATGTTAAGAGGGTATTCCAGATCTCAACCATTATTATTCAAAGATTAACTAAAGTACAGGTTACATAGATGAAGTGACCATATTTGTGTGAATTTACTAGACTGTGTTAATTTGATACATGCATGTGGATAGCTATTAACTCAGCTGTGATAGCATATATATCAAAATACACCTTTATCATTCCTTTGCAGTATATAACTTGTAATCTCTTTCACTGTTTGATAAATGATATGGAATATGTGAAAAATAGTACTCAATTCCAATATTTGAACATTTTATTATTCTAATTTTATTGATTGAATTTATTTTTGTCTCTACTGCTAATTTTACTAGCTCCCTTTCTTAAATTCCGTGTGCTTCACAGTGCTAAAATACAATTCCATTTACTCTGAGGGTGTCACTTTACTTTTCACTTTTGTATTTTAGTTGGTTTTCTCTTATTCTTTCATATTGCATCAGTAAAGTGAGTTTTCCCCTTTAATAGGTGAATGCAATATGATTTTCTGAATTATTTTTAAAATATATATTAGGTAACATTATTATACATCTGAAATGTTAATTTCATATTCTACTCTGGCCTATTCCACTTCTCATCACTTCTCATTTTTATTCTCTGTGTCATTAATCTAGCGCATCCAGTATGTCCTATGATTCTGATACTATAACTTGTGATTCATCTTAAATTGAGAATTTCAGTTGAATTTTTTTCAGTTGTATTTCTAATAAGTCTATTTGTGCATTGACTTCTAGGAATTCTTAGTTTATTTTCCCTAATTCTCTTTTTCTACTGCAGCAGTGTATCATATGTTGCATAATGATTTCCTCTTGGAATCATTCAGTTCTCTATTGTATCTTATTTGACCTCATTAAATAATAAATTATTTGATTAATTCAGCTCCTTATTTGTATCATCTTTAATGTAATTGATTGTTTTCAGTATTCTGGTTTCAAATTCTTTGATATTTCAATTGTGATATCAGTAGAATTGGTTTTAGAGAACTGCAAATATTGGGAATCTGTTTTCTTGGCTCTCTGATGAATCTAGTGTGTGTGAGTTTATGTGTCTGTGAGAGACAGACAGAGAGAGAGACAGAGAGACAGAGAGACAGAGAGACAGAGAGACAGAGACAGAGACAGAGACACAGACAGAGAAAGAATGTGTGTGAGTGTAATATGTTGAAGTTTGAGGATCACTGGGGTTGGAGAGTGAAAGACCTATTGTGCATAAACCTTTTGAGGAAGTGCCTTATTCATTGTGATGTTTCTTAGGCTGTCAGGGTCCCAGCAGGAAACAATGCAGTCAACCCTTTGTTCTCCAATTTGGCACTAGATTGAGCTCTTAGCACTGTTTCTGAGGACAGAGTAACCACCAAGTATATCGGTATCTGAAAAATAATCCATAAATTCACGTGTAATTTAAAACTTCTTTGAACTATTCTCCAAGTGTTTCATTCCTCAGGAACTGACAGAGGAAGTAATAATTTGGGACCTACTAGGGGAGCAGTAGGCTTTAATGAGAATATTCTTGTATAACAGAAATGAGGGATGGAGTATGTGAGAGACTATGAAAAGAGAAGGAACAAACAAGGGAAGTGAATTTGAATGAAATGTGAGAAAAACATAATGAGATTATCCCAGTGAATGAGCAAGCAGGTGCATGTGTCTGACAGGCTGGCAGGCAGAGGAAAGGGGTCTGTAGGCAGACAAAGGCCTCTTCAGGCTTCCTGGCTAATCCTGACAGGAGCCAGGTAAAGCTTTATTGGAGGGAACATTAAGAGTAAGGCGGGGCTGAAATACAGAGCAGTAGTTAGAGTCAAACTTGGGCAGATGCAGAAACCAGGCAGCCTGCCACTGAGAGAGCTCACCTTACTCTGAAAGCCTTCTCTTGTCACCGTCAAATACATATGAGAATAAATAATGTAATCATGTTGTTCAACTACATGCACTCTTGTTAGTGTTTATCTAACAGCATCATCAGTCATTTGAATAAGAGTTATAGTTGATATAGTAAACACCATTCATGAATATGTGAGCATTTACCCTAGGTATAGGAAGTTATGAAAAGTACTCCGTATAATACTGGAAATACACTCGCATGCACACACACACACACACACACACACACACACATACACACACACAGACACACGTATCCACACAGAAAATGTGATACTTAGAATCCTGCAAGAGGATCAGCAATCCTACAAGTGGTACTTCAGATTAGGAAGTAATTGTGAACTTGAAAAAGAAACAACAAACCGCTAATGAGAAATAACATTAAGAAAAAGGAATGAACAGAAGTCTAGAGTAACTTCAGGACACTATGAAAAAATCTGAGAAAACTGAGCCATCAACAGTTAATACTGTTTTCGCAATAAGAAACTGAAGAAGCCATTGGCTATGCAGTTCAAAGCATCCTGGGAAGGACAACTCTAGAAGAGTCCTCAGTATGTGCACAGAAGGAATACTAAATGCAAAAATTTTAAATTCAGTGTGAAAACACTGCATAATAATAACTTTAAAGTACTAAAGAAAACTTATACTATTGCAATTATAACTTTCAGCCACATATAATAATAACATTTATGAGAAAATAAAGAATTGGGGAAGATTGATTTATATTATGCAAAGTTTCTCACGCAGGAGGTTGTTCAATAAGGGTTGACCTATATAGTCCATGTTTACTGTTTTCCATCACCTGAGTTCAATCTCCAACACCAAAAGAGAAGTTATTTCATATATCATTATGAATACATGAAATTATTTCATATATTAAAGTGACCTTAATATATCATGAATTTTAAAATAAAAGGTCATTACTGCATGAAAAAAGCAAATATATCAAGAATAAAGATATCACCAAATCTTCAAAAAACTTAAAATGGAAAGTAAAATATAGTTTCCTGTTAATGAGTTTGATGATGAAAAAGCAAAATTCTTTAAAGGTACATTAGAAAAAGAGAGATAATAAGAGTAATTGCCTACTTCATAAGTGCAGTAATTTTATGAGAATTATTCATAGGAATGAAATATTAGTAGTAGTTTTTCCTTTGTAAAGCAAATTCTCACCTACCCTTCCCACTGGAATGATGGACAACAGATTGCATGCACTCTCTTTTCATGTGAAAGATGCTAATAAGAGTATTTAAGAAGAAAAAGATAGGGCATCCTGGGCACTGAATTACTTGCCCAAAGCAGGCAAATTGAAAATAACCTGAGCAATAGGATAAGTATGAAGCAGCAGGAAAACCAGCGACAGCCATCAACGCTGTTTTATGTCAGACGAGTCTATTTCTGAAAATTATATTGTGCTAGGAAAGCTGTTTGCTGGTGTGATTAGCCTGCCTGTAATCAGGCACCATCTGATAAGTGTTCTCTCCACTGACCTCTGTTTTAGTAAATGTAACGGCAGTATTACTTTCTACTCATTAATTATTCGGATGCAAAAACGTGTTCATAATTTGTTGCACAGCATTGTAGTTTTTTAAAAAATCATATTGTATTTCATAGCACATTGACCTTACAGCAAGAGAGACAGCATGATATCTTCAATTATTTCAGAAATAATTTCCATTTTGTGATATGTGTAGTGATATAAGAAATGAGTGGGCAAAAGGAAATAGTTCAGATGTTCCTTCTAGCCAGTAGATTGTATTATGCTTACTTACTAACATGATATAAATGCTTTGTACCCTGTGTAATAAAGGACATAACATATACCTAATTTATTTAGAATTATAAAGTTTCCTGAATTTATATATTATTTGCAATGTCAGATTCTATTGATGTGTTTCATACCCAAAACCAACAGCAAACTTCCAAACTCATACACATACATAAAAATGAATGTAAGAGTGCTGGGGTGTAGCTCAGGGGCACAAGTGCCTGCCTGTCAAGTGTGAGCTCTTGAGTTTGATTTCCAGTACCAAAAAAAAAAATCATATAAGGAAGAAATCACATGTAGTAAACATAACTGAAAAAGACAACAGCATGTAAATGTATGAAACTGAAGACTTTTATGTTTTGAGAGATGAGCCCGAACATTTTAAATAATACATACATACATATTAAATTATTAATTAAATTGCAAAGAAAAACAACTAGAAATATGTACAAAGATAGCATTCATAAAGTGTAGATACAAACAAATAATAAATGATAATTTTCTATAACATTCATGTAGAACAGTGTGTGATTTTGTCACTAACTCAGAAATATGAGCAATAAAATAGAATGTAAAATATACAAATGAATTCATCAAAAGTTTTGAATTAGTAAAAGACTGATAAACGTCAGTCCAAATAGAGTTTTTGTATTTTACTTTGGATATGCAAAGTACAAATATAAAGTGTATTCAATATTAAGACATACTAGCTTCCTAAACTTAACAGTTTAATTTAATTTAATATTTAACTAATATTTAACTAATTTAATATTTAACTTTATTTAGAATGCAAAGTGGATAACTTCTTATCTTTTTTAAAACTTTGTAGGTTTTGTGTTTATACATTAACAAAACAGTGCTATTGCCCTACACGTTTGACATCAATCTTCTGCCATATTCTGTCATTCCAAAGTGTGGGTGAGGTGATCACTCAAAGCGAGAGACCTGCTCCTGTCCACACTCTGGCAGGAGCTC